CCTGTGTAAAAATAGTAATTATCAACTAAAGTTAACAGGAGGCACATTCAAAACAAGTGGAGACAGCTAGAGGTCACACAATTAAGTAAATTAGTAAGATGTGGGAATTCTTTTCTGGTGATACTGTAAATTTACACAGCCTTAAAAAGGTACTGGATAACAACACGAAAAAAGCTCAGGTTAAATTACAGCCATTGTCTCTTAAACACAAGCTGTTGGAGGCTGGGAAGTCATTCTGGAAAAAAAAAATTAGGACAATTTGTCCCTTTCTTAGGATTTTCCTGGGCCTCTGCTATAGACTACTGCTAGACAGTATCAGGCAAGGCCTTTCCTGGAAGGCAAGTCAACACTCCCTCTTTGTAACGTGATGGAAGGGAGAAGCTTTTGCTCTTCAGGGCAGTGCTTCAGTTTCATTGAAAGTATCTTATTTTCTGCTCATTCTTCCTTTTTCCTGCTGTTTTTTCTTCAGAGAGCACAAATATAGAAAATTCGTTTTTGACAAATTAGAATTTGAAGGGTTCTCTCTTTTTCCTTTACTACTGCTGTGGTAACAGCATAGCTATTGGAATCTGTCTATCTGAAAGATCCAGTTCCCTCTCATCTTACACCTAATCTAACACTCGCTGAAAGAATGCTTACAGGTGAGGTGGCTGGTGCAACTAATCCTTCTTCAAAACAGTACAGAATTCTAAGAAGTGGCCATATGTAGATATTCTGGCATTCTTATAAATTCTTACTGAGCTATCAGGTGTGCAAAAGCTCACCTTGCACACTAATGCTGATGAGCTCTATTTTTTCCCCAAAGCTGCACAGTTGCATATATACTTTTTAAAATTAAATATTCTGTATGTACCTGTATGCTTGGAAATAGCTTAAAACAAATGTTGGCTTGCCTGGAAACTTCTCATGTAACACTATCTAAAGTGGAATTTGCATTAAGCCCAAGGCCTGGACTAAAGCAGTTGCTGATGATTCTCCTCTTATCTGCTTCTAAGAAAAAATACCCATCTGCTTAGATTTTTCTTCCCACTAAGAATGCTGTATCTAGATCAAATAAACTCTGACCCTTGCATAGTGGAGTTGCAGGACCAGTTTGAAAGCAAAGTCAGCAGGACAAAGTTTAATCTACAATGTATTGCCAGACACTACCATTCTGATGGAAGAATGTAGTGCTAATATAGTACAACAGTTAAAGTTACACATTGAGACTAAAAGGTTTTTAACTGTTCTCTTTGAGTACAGACCCTTCTTTAAACTTCTTGGAAAAAACCCCATCTGTTAAGTCTAAAGATGAAATACCAATATGATACACTCAGTTTAAAGGTAATAGGCAGCACAATGACTTGAGGCGTGATGGATTACCTCCATGTCCCATTGTTTTATGGGTGTTCCTGACTGCTGAATCCATTCAAAGATGTAACTGGATGCTCCTTTTTTCTTGTAACTCTGCATATTTTTCCCTCTGGAAGTGTTACAAGACATGTTCAAAACCTACCACTACTATACATTGCACTATGCTACTACTACTGCTAATGTATCAATACTGCTGTTGCTTTTGTACTAATTCTTACCCTTTGGTTTCACATACAATTTTTCCATGGTAACATGCAGACCAGGTTCAGCCTTACCCATAACTGGTTTATGTTGCAAAGGCAGATGTAATCCAGGATAAAAAGTGTTGCATCAGTAACTGCTAAGTGTAAAATTTACACTTTTAGTCTGAAAACTTGTAAGTTTCCAACATAGAAGGAAAGCTTTCAAGGAGCAGGGTTAAGGGTACATTTTAGTGGCATTCATTCTGTCAACACAAAGGTGGGAGTAAAACAAACTCTTGGGTAACCCACTCCCCGATAAACTTAAATTATTTCAGGGATCCAATCTCCAAAGCAGATGAACAGTTGACAGGTGGGGACAAAAAGTAGGAACAAATATATATGAACAGGAATCCCTGGTGGCAAAACCAGCTCAAGAGGTCTCAAATTCTGTATTCAGACACATTATGAATCTTCAGTGTCTAAATCTGGGCCTTGCCCCACCTCTTTAAAAAATAAATTACAAATTAAATTATTTTTTTAAAGGTTGGCATATATGAAAGCAGAAGCCCCATTTCCGTCTAGCAACCGGCATTATTCACATTATTTATAGAGTATTTTTGTAATTATTGTCTGAGATAAGCCAGTGCAGTTCTATATTCTTTTGTGGCATTACTGAACAAAAATAGAGTTAATTTTAGTATTTAAACATGGTGTCTTCTTTGACCTGTGTGCTGCAACCTTAGGCATATGTCCACTTGTACTGCAAAAACGCGTAATCTTTTTTAAGTATTCAAGTAAAACACTATATTAATATAAGGATTAGACAAATTATAAAAAATCCATCACTTTTAATAAGCAGGTTTTTATTCTTACAGTCAGAAACTCCACACAAATAAGCTAAGAGAGATGTGACCAGCACAACAGCCACAGATTCCAACTTCATGGCACAGTGCCAGTCAAGCTGCTGCATGATAGATGTGGGCCTAAAAACCTGCCTACTGCAGTCATCATAAGTTCACTGACATTTTACAGCAGCTGGCCATTGGTGATTGATTACTTTCGGGTAAGAGAAAGCAGCTGATACCCAGAAACTGGTCAAGGTGTAACTGCTATACAAAGAGCTATGCCCCAAGAAGAAACAGTAACTACGTATCAACTGCTGCACAGTAATCTGACTACAAGAAGGCAAGGGGGAAAGTTAGACTTCATGTCCTTTTATTTTCCACACCCTTCACAACAGTATATTTATCCAACTTTCTTGCCCAGTTTTATATGTGCTCCTATCTCTTTGCATGCTTGTTAGGAAAGGAGGCCAGGAAGAATAGTTGCGAGCTATTCCTGCCTCACAGTTGCATTTAGCATATGATAAGATCAGTCAAATTACAGTGCTGAGCATCTGCCAGGCCCTCTGCATGCAGGAGCAATTCAGCTGTATGTGTCTGACCTGGAGTCAGGTAGTGGCCAAGAAATGCCAGTTGTTGTGGGACAGGATTTCTTAAAGGACCGGTTACATACAAAGCAAGCACATACCCATCTTCAGAGATGCAAACAGATACTAGTGCCACCTGCTGCTCTACACTGTCTGCTGCAGCTCAACTAGCTAGTATGTAAATACTGACAGTTGATTGCCATCTGACAAATGCACCAGATTAAAGCACTAAAATCTAACAGTGGGCTTCCCTTCTATTTTCCTTGAACTTCCCCCATGATGTAGTATTCACCGGAAGTGAAGAGTATACTGTAGTACACTGGCACAAAGTAGGTGTGCATATGCACACATGGAGAGAAGAAAGGGGCTGACGGATTGAAGGCTATTAAAGTGAATTGGAAATAGCCAACACAAGAAAAGATTCTGTATTTTGCATTATGCAATTCATTCAAGTGAAAATAAAAGGTAAGAGGCAACTTAAGGAAAGAACTTCAAGTTCAGGTATTTTAAAAAGGTTTCCAGGCTTACACAAAATGTGATGTTTTTACATTTGCAGGTACCTTTGAAATTGCTATTGAATTTACAGCTAGTGTTCTCCTACCTATAAATGCACTGATCCATACCCCGGGACTCTTCAATACCTACAGTGATCAATTTAGGTATTTTTAATACAAGTTGATAGTTCCTGTGAACTCAAGACTGACTGTTGGAATGCTATGCAACTTTAATTCATAATACAAAGAATTTTGCAATGATAATGTGCATTCAATTAAAAAAAAACCTTCTTACTGCTTCTGTCATTTGACAATGAAAGGTAACATGTCGACCAGCTTGGATGGAGTCTTGGGTGACATGTTTTAGTGTGACGCGTCCCTGCCCATGGCAGTGGGGTTGGAACTTGATGATCTTAAGGTACTTTCCAACCCTAACTGTTCTATGATTCTACGAATACTTGCAGTGTTTGCTATTAATCTTAATCCACATAAGAAGTTTAATAGAACAGATGCCATTAAAGCTCAACCAATAATTATTGCAAAGAGGAGAAATTCACTTAGAAAATATGACTTAACACATTCTAAGCATTTATGAAAAGGTAAATATATTTCAGAGCAGAGAAATTCACTGAAAGATTGCTTTTCTGGCTTGGGCAAAGACTTCATACAAAAAAGAAAGCAGCAAACAAGATGTTCTGAGCCTATACCTATAATATATATCATATCCTGACATTTCCTTATAGTTACTACTTGAAGCTCAATTTTCAGGTGTGTAGATCATTATCATGTTTTTGATAACTGCTGTAATGAAGATAAATAAGTTCTAAGGAAACTCATGCAGAATTAAAGATTCACTTGATCTTCCCATACCCATTCCTTGTAATAATCTATGTTTCAAGACCTACTGAATCAAAAAAACCCTCAAAGGTAGCAACAATTTCAGAAAATTAAAATCTACTTCTGAAACAGATGATTCAATTGTAGGATCAGCTTATACTAAAGTAAAATATTAATATGCACACAATGTATACAGTACACTACTTTTTGATTCTTAACAGTGTTAGAAAAGAATATTGAAGTTTTTCTTCTCCTAAGACCTGAATCTTTAAATTTTCCAACTGAATTATTTGACAGTGAGAATGAAAACCTATTAGTGGTATCTAAGTTGTATCAACATAAACTCTGCTTACAGTGTGATTCCTGGCCTGTACAAACTTGCTTTACAAGCCACATTCTAGGTAATTATGTATTATGATTATCTGTGCAAAAGGCCCGTGGGCAACAAAACCTTGTTTTAGTAATGCTGGTGTTTACCACACTGTCAATGTGATTTTTCTTTTGAGGGACACGGTCTAAACAAAAACTAAGACAGGAATAGTTATATCTGCAGCACTCATATAAAATTTAACTTGGATTAAAAATTTTAACAGTATTCTAAAAACGATCCTAATACTCCAGCTGCTAATAATATAAAGGCTCTCACATACATGTCAGTAGGTAGGGGCAGTATTAGGTTTCAGGAGCTCTTTCACATTTCACTACCTTTCATTGATTCCAGTTTGCTCAGGCTTGAGTTCTTCATCTTTGCAAAGGAAAAAGCATGTATGAAGGAGCTTCACATACTAGCCATTTAAATTCTTGAGTACGTTTGCTACTTATTACATACTCTTTTACTTCAAGTGGAGAATGTTGTGAAGGTCTCATGCCAGAGTAACGTCACGGTTACCCTAACAACTGGCTTCTAGCAACAAGACAAGAATGAAGTGGGGAGGTATGTGATTGCTGCCAGTTGTAAAGGTCTGTATCCTTTGTATGTGGCACAAACCCCCGATGACCTATGAAACAAGATGCCAACCTCACCAGAGACTGGAAAGTAAAAGAAAATAATAACAAATCCCCCCACAAACCCTATGGCAGTCACATATGTTATTTGATTTCCTAGGGAAGTACGTAAGTATCAGTTACCTCACTTCTCACTCGCTTGCTTATTTCTCTCCAGGTAAGCTGTAATACTACAAAGATCCACGTTTCTTTTCCTCCCCCAATGTATTAAGTAGGAATCTGTCCAGAGATTTTAACAATGGCTGGCTAGAAAGTTCCCTGTAAAAAGAGAAACTGTTTTTTTGATACAAAGTCTGATTTTCTGGGAATTGGATCCTCTTACTTCAGAGACAGAATGGAGAAATAGACAAATGTAACTAACTATTTGCCCAGTTTTCTGGATATCAAACCTGGGAGAGTAAGGAAGTCTCAGTTTCAGGTAGTCTGCTATTCGGGTTTCAATCCCCTCTATTATGTTTCTCATCCTTATAAAAGAAATACAATAAAAAGCTCCAAAACAAAAGTAATAAACAAGTTGCCAAGAAAAAAATCCGAAGTTCAACAATGTTGTTTATGAAACAGACAAATAACAAAAAATACTGTTACCCCATTAAACAGTTTTTCTTACATTAACCCCATGTTTTAGCTAGCATGGACTAATCCTTGCATATGAGTGTTATCAAAAGACTTTGGCAATGTTTTTCACTTTTGTTTGTGAACACCTCTTTTCTGCTGAGTTCCTAAAAGGCTTTACAAGGAGTAAGCAAGAAATGAAGTCTATTGTTAATAGAATTGATTTGCTATATAAGGATCCACAACTTCATTGCAAACTTGTTCAGGGCCTAGAAAGTCCAAAAGATTGAGTGTTACTGTAAGGTTTAATCTCCTTTTAAAGTAGCTATCAAGCAGCATCTAGTAAGTTACTTCAAGAATCTAATTAATTATTAACCTTCTATTTAAATTAAAGTTAGCAACCTTGTGGCTAACTATTACCTTCACCTGACTACAGAAATACTTTTACAGTTTCAGAGATGGCAATTTAGCTGTGCAAAGTAATACAGAAGACTTTGGGTGACAGTTGCTTCTTAACACATCAAGTGCAACTTCATGTGACTGGCTGTATATTTACTATTAATGCCTCTTTTATTTCAGAAGTGGAGCCAAATTAACTCTGCCTACATCTATCAGTGCCTAAGGGAAATTCCCTGTTTGCAAACTTTAGATGGTCAATGAAGAAACATCATTAATACTTTAATTCCAGACTTAAATCTTTGCTTCCAATTAAGATGCTGTGATTTTATGGTGTCCTCATTAAGTTTAAACTTGTGTACCACTCTAATTACTTTGGTAAAGAAATGTAGGATAGATACTTAAGAATTTCTTGGGGTTTGTTATTCCACAAGGAAACTGTTACCCTTGTATTTTTCCACAGTGCTTGAGAATCCTTTCTACTTCACATTAAACGTTCTTGGGGTCATAATCCCCGATACTAACCTGTCTTATTCTATTTGATTTGTAATTTCCACCCTCCTTTTAGCTTTTAAACACTGCTGTAAGTTGGCTTCTTACTTATATTTGAGTTTTACATGAATTTTATTTTAACTAGGAAAAAAGTAAAAAAAAAAAGTATTGGTGTAGTTAATGATACAAAGATATTTCATTGATGAGAACTGAAGTCACATAACTAAGGTGTAAATAGGCCCGCTCCCTACTGATTTTGATGACTTTATAAATTAAGGTAATGCTGAGTCTAATGCGGGTATAAAACCAAAGTGTAATATTCCCCAAAGGAAATATGAACAAAAAATATCTGCTGAAAATACAAAACCAATCCCATAATTTTAATTTAACATGGAAGATCAGCCTGCTATAGTAACTCACAGATTAGGAAAAAAACCCAAACCATTTCAATAAGGCTGTACTGTTCCCCACCACCGCCCTAACTTGCACCAAATTACATACTGGAAAACACCTTCTCCCCAAAGCTCCAAGGAAGGTCTCTCTTGCGATAAACTAAACCAGATGCAGTGTTTTATCAATGACAACCCTTAAATCAAATTACATTTGTGGATAAAACTATTACAGGAAGTCCTCCAGAATGCAGCATATTCCAAGTAAAACAAATACATAAAACACATTTTTGCTTGTTTCCTTGGTATGAAGTTTACATAACTGTTTCCCTTATTGCAAAGAAATTTCACAATCTGATTCTATGTCCACTGAAGATACTCCCTGAGGGAGAAAGAGGACTTGCAGCTGATGAACTGCTTGTAAACTGAGGAAGCTGCCAGTTGGAACAGTGGTTGAAATTCTGGCTTAGTGAGCAGATAGTATTAACGTGTTCAATATTAACATCCAACTGGTAAAACATTTCCACCCAAGATAGCTGACATGCTTTGAACAAGCTTTATTTTCCTCTTGCAATTTGAAGTTCAGAAAAATCTCTGATCCTAAAAGCAGAATTTTTGGACTTACCTATTTAGGATCACAGATCTGTGTTCAAGAACATAGCTCTTAAGATGTTATCTAAAGTACATACTTAAGAGTTTCACTTATCAGAAATCAGTCTAACACTGGTGTAATGATTTTTTTCTCTACCAAAGGCAAAATCTTTGAAACAAAGATAAAAGCTAAAGTCTTCCCAGCCGAAACACTATTTAAACACTGCACAGAAAGCAAATAGAAATACATCTTTAGCAATTATTAGGCACTTTTCTGAATGACAGCTCAAATTGGTCATTGGGAATAGGAGGTGATGAAGCTATTGGAAGTATTACAGTACTAGAAGTAAAAAAGAAGTTATTTATAGTTAACCAGTGTTATGACACAGTCAGTTTTCAAATGAGTTTTGTCAAATCCTTCCATAGAATCCAGAGCCCTTTCTCAGAAATACATCTAACCCTTTTCATAGTGGCAATCCAAGCTTTCTGCTCTCTCACAAGCTAAGTGGGCTCACAGAAACTAAAAACCAAGACACCCCCCTCCAAAATACTGAAAGCTGTGCCTGATGGTAAGAAACACCATTCACATGCTTTTTCAACTCTAAGTATGACAACTTTATGACTACTAAAACCGCACAGTGGAATTCTTTTCTGGACCCACGTTACCACACACTGCACTGTATGACTTCAAGTCAAATCTCGCAAAACATGAGCAAAGGAGTAGTTACACAGCTCATAATTTACACAGAGAATCCTAGCTCTTAGCAAAAATCTATGTTTCCATGTGTAATTAAAATAAGTAAATCTGAGCTTTTAGTAAAGTTTTGCAGAGCAGATCACAAAATATCCATTGGCTAACATCAGCAGATTTAGTTTCAGTTCCATTCTTCAGTACTGTTCTTCACCAGTGTCCAAACCATAAACTCAGTATATTGTCTAAACTAAGACCTTTCCCCATTCAGTTAATACCTGATAGGCAGATATTTAAATAATACCCTAAACACGAAGTTTAACAAGCGCACTTCCTTTTATAGGAACTGTGAACGCGACATTGCCTCCCAGTTTCAACAGATGGCTGAGCATCGCCTCCTCCTACCTCCCTGCCCTCTTTTCTTGTAAACAACTTACAACCAGGCTTTTAAATTACAACCAAGACCTATACAGGCCCGTATATACCTACACCTTTATGCACAGCTCCATACAAGGTGGACAAGAGAGGATGAAACTGACGCTTTCAATGCTAGTGAATCTTGCTGTGATGGAACAGCCTCCAGCGTCCATCCTTATGGTCAGAAACCGGCCATAACATCCCTTGTCCGCCCCTTCGCCTCAAGGGGTAGATATAAGACACAGCCCCACGCATCTGGACAAGAGCCCTCACTCCTGGGGGCGGCCTGCAACAGGAGCTGCAGGGCAGCGTGTGAAGGAGAAGGGAGCCGCGTTTTAGGTAAAGGGCTGACATTGGAGGGCGGCGTCACCCTCAGGAGAAGGAGAAGGGCGTGCGGCCGGCGGCGGAGCGGGCCTCTTACCACGTACCATCTCGATGATCTTGGTCTTCCTCCCCGTCTTCTTCTTCATGGTGAAGATGTACTGCGCCAGCACCACCCCGCCGACCAGCACGCACACGCTGGCGCTGGCCACCGCACCCATCTTCGCCACGGCGGTCCTGTCCATGGTAGCTGCTCGGGGCACGCCGAGAGCCGCTGCGGCGGAGCGGGGCCGCTGCCTGAGCGCTGCAGGACGCCGGGGGTGCTCGCTCCCTCCCTCCCTTCCTTCCTTCCTCCCCCCTCAGCGCCGGCCTGAGCGGGTCCTCTCCCACCCGGCACAGCCGCGGCGCGGGCTCCCCGCGTGACGTAACGAGCGCGTGGCCTGCCCGGCGCTACCACGCAAGAGGAAAAAGAGGGGGAGAAAGGGAAGCGGGCGGCTACTGGAAGAGCAAGGAGAGAGCGCTCCAGAGACGAAAGGCCTCTGTGAGCGGTTTCAAAAGGAAACAGCACCAGCTAAGAGGTTAGATATTTTTCTCAGGACCACAAACGAATGCCTTCTTCCTTTCGCCTCCTCACGCCTGCCCCCACAAAAGAAGAAATGAGAGAGCCCAACGGGCCATCGCGCCGCTTCACAAACTACATTTCCCGGCTGTGGCGCCCCCTGCTGGTTGGGGCGGCGTGGCTGATGCTTACCGCGCGGGGAGGGGACGGCGGCGATGGCGGCGGCCGGGCGGAGCGGGTTGTAGCGCTGCCGGCTGGTGCCTCACCTTTCGTTTCGCCTTAGGCCGTGCCTGGGTGAGAAGCCCCTGCGAGGAAGGGGGACTGCCGTCCCGGAGCAGCTCGGACCGCACCACGCCCGGGAGGTGCCGGCTCCCGCCCAGGTGAGCACCCGCCGGGCTCTGTCTGTTGTCCCGCTTCAGGGCGTGTGTGTCCGTGCCTGTGGGTGCGGCACCGAGGACCTGTGACGGGGAGAGGGTGTGTTGTCGGCAGCCTGCCCTCAGCTGCAGCGGGTACCAGCGGCAACCCCTGAGGTGAGAAGATAGAGGGCTTATTTTCCAGGCATGGTTTCCTTTATAGAAGCAACAGTGTGGTTTGTAGGGCTACCTTTTCTCCGAAGGAAGGCAAAGGGTGATCCCATCCTTAGGAACCTGGCAGCCCCTTACCCTCCTCTACCGAGTCGGGTTTGTCCCGCTCACGGCGGGGCAGGGAGCGGTGAGTTTTGAGGTGGGGTGTTGTCGAGCCGCCTACAAAAGGATTAATCTCTTCCTGCGCCTGTCCCCTTCTTAAAATAACAGCAGGTATGGAGCAGAAAAGCTGATTTGTGCCCTGAGGTCTTTAGTTGTGTCACTAGGGCATCTGCAAGGCGATTACTTGTTGGAGGTTTTGGTGTTGTCTTTCTGTGTCTAAAAATAAGTTTTCTTGCATTAGACTTGCATCAGAATCTTTTTCTTTTCCTGATACTCCTTGATAAGAGAGAAAAATCTCAGTTCTGTGACTTTGAAATCTTGTTTTACTTTCTTAATGTTAGTTGCAGAAAGCGTTTAACAATTAAAAAAGCTGCTGTTCCTTTGTGTTTCCTTTAAGTAGCTATCAGTGGCTATCATAACTAATTTCCAAACTAAGGACAAGAAGTTTCCTAGGGTTGTTTTCTGAGCTACATAACCAGAAACCCAAGACAACTGAAGTCAACATGTACACAGCTCAGACTAGAGCAATGCAAAGCTAAAAGGTATATAAGAGCATACTAAATCAAAGTTGTTGATAACAAGGTTGTTTGTGTACACAGGTGTGTATATACTTTATTAGTTTGTATACAGAGATGTATGTTTATTTGTATATATATTCGTATATACTTTACTAGTGGTTTGTTTCCTTTTCAGTAAAGAAGAATGTCATTGTTTAAAGCTAGAGACTGGTGGTCCACCATACTTGGAGAAAAGGAAGAGTTTGACCAAGGCTGTTTGTGTGTTGCTGATGTTGATAATAGCGGACGAGGTAAATTCAGAAATACATATTTGCTGACTTTTAGGCTACACAGCTGCTAGTTTGCATACTGAAAATTTATTGCCCAGGTTGTGTGCATTAGTGCAGATGCGTTTCAGTTGGTGGGGGGCAGAAGTCTCTCTGGTGCTTCTGTGGTTTTCTAACACATCAATAACTCTTGTGTCTTTGCTACTGCATGATTCTCCATTCCCTGCTTTCACTGAGAGGAAAGGACCTCGTTAACACACCCATCCCTCAAACTTGTTGCCCCGAGGCTTATTTTTAATGAGCCTGATTTTATCCCTTCCCCCCCTTTAAACATAATTTAGAGCTCACTCAGTTAGCCCTGCTAACTCCTGTGCAAAGATCCTTTTCCGTCTTTGACACAGGTGTACCGCATCTGTTGCCAGCGGCCTGCTGCCGTGTTAACTGACCTGTGATCACAACTCCCAGATTCTGCTGGAGGTCTGAGTTGTCTTTTCCTGATGAAAACCAAATGTAATTGGTATAAAAGCAGGACTTAAACAGTGTTGTGGGAATAGTAGTCTGTTGTTTTATTTACTTTCTCAACATTATAAATTTCTCTTTGTTTTTAGACTAGTCTTTTTCTACCAGAGTTCAGGACCCAAGTGAATCAGCTATTTGCAATTGCCTAGTCATAGGCTGAAATATCCTCACTTGAGCATTTTTAAGGAATTAATAACTGCAGTGGATTTAGTTTACTGCTGCTGAAATACTTGTTACTGAACTGAGGAAGTGATGTGGGGAAGGCGGTATTCTGTGACTGAGGGGCTTGGGGGTTCAAATCTTTTGTGGCTGAAGAAGAGAGGAAGCAAGTGCCTGCTCTGAGCTTTTGATGTGGGACCCCATGGAACCATGCCAAGTCTCTAGAGCCTGGTGAACTTGCTTTAGGAGTACTTGTATGTTCTGATCTGTGGAGAAGTTTTGTTGGTGTGACTTTTGATCTGCGTTAATATGATGATCTATATCTAGAAGAAATAAGTATTGGCAACCAAGGTGGGTTGTTTGTTGTCATCTTGGGAGGCACCTCTTTGGTGGTTTTGTTGTTTTGTTTATTTTTTGTTTTCTTCATTAATTATTTTTTGTTATTAACAACCAAATGACTACTTGATTAAAATACTGATTCCAGAATAACTCTGATGTAACTGTTACATTCATCTTTGTGATAGTGGCCCTGTCTCAAGAGCAGGTGGTTCCAAGGTCCAGCTTTGATGTAGTAATTATCTGCCTTTAGGTTTGCAGTTGGATAAATGTCATTGGTCCCAACTTTAAAATTTCACACTTCTGCAGGTGTGCTATGTCTATGCACAAATCCAGGACGTAGAAGCTGAAAGTTTGAGGAACTCTTCAAAACCAAAATGGGACTTTTAAAGCATGATCATCAAAATGATGGAATAGTAACAATAGTCAGGGCCACCACCATGATAATTGCTGTATTGAATAATTTGCTAATCTTAATCTAGAGCACAGAGCATAACCAAATTTAATTGAATCATGGAAATATTCTTTTATGTATTCTTTGCAATACTTATGCAAGCAAAATGAGTTCCGCAGGTGTTACTGTACTCTGTAGTTTCATTTGGTTACTTGTTTGTTTGTAGATAAAATTATTGTAGGCAGCTACATGGGATATCTCCGAATCTTTAATCCACATCCTATGAAACCTGGAGAGGGAGGACAACCTGAAGACTTGCTCTTGGAAGTGCAGTTACGAGAACCAATATTGCAGGTGGAAGTGGGAAAATTCGTTTCGTAAGTCAACAACAGGCTTTGTTGCTGTTTGTTTAAGGCTTAGCTGTGATTTTCTTTGTTTGTTTTGGGGATGAGTTTTCAGTTTCCAGAGGGACAGCTATTAAGCACATCTGAGAATACTGTACTATGCATTTGATCTGCTTCTCAAATAATCTTGATATGAGAGGATTTTTACTTACTGTATACATGGAGGATAATCTTCCAGATCCTTTTAAGAACTAATTTCTAAAATAAAGTTCTCCTAAGCAGATTCTCTTATAGCCAATTAAATACATGTTCTTAAGGGATTAATTTTAATTTTGAAATAAACTTCTAATACTGAGGCATGAATTTTATTTGAAAAACAAAAAAAAAAAGTGTACTAAGCAAGAGAAAAACTATTCTGAGACCAAAGGCCACAGGCTGACAGTCCTGCATCAGTTGGAAACTGTTGTCCTTTCTCTCAAGTACTCATGGAGTGACCCTGTGCCAGGAATTCTAATGCCTTACCCTGTGACATGATCTAACCGATTTTCTATAGTTACAGCACAAGAACTTTCTCTGCAGGGAAAGGTTTTGGAGAAGAAGAATGTGACTGTAGGGTTCAAATATAGGAATATGCAAATATAAGATTTGATTTCTGCCTTATAGTTTAATTAACTTAGGTTCCATGCAGGTATTACAAAAGTGAATTTAAAAAAAGTAATATATGTGATTGTTGAGAAATACATATTTGGAGGTATGATCTTTATACTCATTTAGCTTTTGGAAGAATTAACAGCACCTTGTTTGAAATGAATTTCAATATAAAGTGGGAAACCAATTGACTTGCTCTTCATACATAAATGTGAAAATATGTTCTTAAAGGATTCATTTTAATTTTGAAATTAGCTTCAAATACTTCAGTGTGCATTTAGAAAATTAGTACTTCTGAGATTTCATGCTAGCATAAAACAGCCAAGCCTTTGGATTTGGCCCATACCTAAAAATAATTTCAACAAGGTTATTTGAATTTTAGCCTGTATGCATTTTACTTGTAATTTATCTGTAAACAGTGCTTTTTTTTAACCTTCCTGACAGTGGTACTGAAGGACTTCATTTGGCTGTGTTGCATTCTCGAAAACTCTGTGTGTATGCTGTTTCAGGTTAGTTACACACACAAGCTTTCATGTGATTTTTAACTGTATTCTAAAGTCTGGATTAGGTTAATGCTAAATTTAGTATATACAGCGTTTGCTCATCTTCTCTGAAGAGCTGCAGTCATGTTCTCTCACTCAAACTCGTGTCTGAAGAGGAATCATTAGTGATTAGTACTAAGTATTTCCCAGTGACTAACAGGTTTGCTGATCTGCTGAGTGCTTGAGATGCTCTGATGCGTGTACTGGTCTGTGGTTGGCAGTGCTTGCGAATGACTAGTTCTTCTTACAATTTTGAAGTGGGTGTTACTGATCAGAGTGCTAATGAAATAAAAGGTTGTTTAATGACAAGTTATCTCTTTAAAAATGAAACAATTACAATTACTTCTGAACTCAAATCCAGATAATTCTTAGAAAGCCAGAACACTCGTAACATTGCGCAAGGAGGTTAAGAGAAGGTTAATACTGGTAAGAAGGTGAAACTACTGTGTTTTTCCTTAAGGCTTCTTTCTTCTACTGCTTTTGGAAATTCTAAATTCTGTGTTCTCTCAGTATGTAAAGAGGCAAATCACAAAATACCTATTCTGTGCACTGAATTCTTTCTAATATATTCTTAAAGCAAAGCACAGATTTAGGAGATTGTACCCCCATCTTTAAAATTCAATGGAGAACTATACATTGTGCATTTTCTGTGTACAGGGACAGCTGTGGCATTCAAGAGCATGGTTTTCTTGCAATTTCTGTTAATTTTTCTCATTTGAGCAAGTACTTTCAAACGTGTTCCCTTCAGGAATAACGATCACTATTTCTTTACGCTTCTGGCAAATTACACTTTCGTGAAGTGGGATCTTTACTTGATTTATACATGTTACCCTATCTGTCACTTGTAATAAAATAACTATGCTGCTTATGCTTATGAGAGCATCCTTCAGGGTTGAGTAATTATAGCCTCAATGTTGTATTCCAGTCAATCCAATGTGTATTCCATATGGAATGGCTATTTTCTAACTTGTTTCTTCTCTACTGTTGCTACTTAGCTGGTTACTTCTCCAGACAGGTTTTTTTTTCCTCATATCTGTTCCAGTGTCTTTCCCTAACATCGGCCTCCTTTAGGGATAACTGCTTAAAAGCTATATTGGGTTTTAGTTGGAAAAATTGCCTGAAAGGTTACCATAAGTTACGTATCTTTTATAGTGTGTTAAGATGGTATTGGAATAATCTTTGTATACTTAAAGCTATGGTAGCATTTAGCTTAGGTATCATTCACTCAAAGCACCTTTTCCCCTGCTGATGTGACTGTTCTCAGAGGGTTTTGCTAATATTAGTTCTTAAGTGTTACTCTATAAGGTGAAGAACTTTGTTTACTTCATGGGGTGCAGAGAGGGCTTACTCAGAAGGGGAGCTTTAACTTCAGTTTCTATAGGAAGCTTTTTGAATTTCTCATAGTTTCCTAAAGGAGTCATGAAATTAAAGTTCATTTTTAGAGAAAGTGATGTGTATCATAAAATAATTCTTGTTTCCATATGTTTGTGTCTTACCTTTGCACTGTCGATCGCTGCATTTAATTTCAGACAGAGTAAAGTCAAGTCATAAGCGTGCCCTAAGCATGGCTTTGTCCAATTATAGGAAGTGACTAGCTATATCTTAATTTGAGACAAAGACTGTTACAGCTGAGGGTGGCTGTTGAATACAGTGTATTCACTGAGTAAGTAGAGAATTGTATGAATTTCCCTTTGAGCAGGCTTTTTTCTGGTATTAGAAATGTGCCTATCGTGGAGAAAAATATACTTAAGTAATAATCTCAGCCTCTTACTAAATATTTATACCATATTTAGTGTAAGAAGACCTTATTTCTGGTTCTGGCCTTTAGGAATTTTGTAGCTTGGTGATTTTTCTAAATGAAAGCAGTGGTGTGAGCCTTCGTATCTCAAAGCCCCTAGGACTTAAGTTACATGTTTTTTCAGGTTGTTTAAGCTGGTACTTCTTTACTTCTTCCGCATTGTGTGGATCAAAGGTGTAAATATATAACTTTTGTTTTTTGTAGAAACTCTGGGAAATGTGGAACATGGAAACCAGTATCAGATTAAACTAATGTATGAGCACAATCTTCAGAGAACTGCTTGTAATATGACTTATGGTCCATTTGGTGGTGTAAAAGGTAAGTTCCTTGTTGCATATTCTTTATTATTAGTTGTTTAACTGTGAACACATGAGGATTAACTTAAATTTAGAGAGGCAACATGATGCTGCTGTCTAGAGGAAACTGTCTTTCTATGAGTGATGGTACCTTTGCATCTAGAAAATAAATGAAGCAAACTATGAAATGCAGAGTAGTTGTTTCGTCGCATCTTGAACTGGAAATGAGTTTACAAGGATAATATTGATCTAAAAAAAAACCCAAAAACCCAACAATATAAAACCCCTAGTTCCTCCCTTGTAAAATACTTTTAATATCTAAACTAATTGTCATCATTTATGCTTTAATTCTGTTTTGCTTTTCTATGATTTGCTTATCCCTGGGCAAAAAAAAAGTTAACATCTTCACTCTCTGATCCTAAAATATCAAATGTCTTTTAAAGATATGTAGATTTAAAAAACTATATAAGCTTTGATTGGAAAAACATAACAGCGGAAAATAGAATTTATGGTGTTTTTGTAGTTCTGAATGAGTTTAATAGATATCGGTCTTTTTGAGCTTCTGAATGGTGAGTGTTTGTGTTCCAGTCTGGAAGCATTTAGGTTTTCTGTACATGACAGTTCTTTCTCTTCAGAAGTGAAGTTTGCCCAACAATATTAAGGGGTGGTTGTCATCTACACAAGTAGTGTTCATAAACTGTCGGCAGTGTGATACCGCTTTACCAAGGTAGAAAATCATCTGGATCTTCTATGTCTGTAAGAATCTTCTAGTAGTAATTTTACAATGCCTTATCCTAAACTCAAGCTTGTCCCTGGGCTTAAATTCAGTTGGCCAAAATTCATATAATTCATAATGATTGGAGAGATTTTCACCTACTGATTTTGTACAACCATTGTGGGAAAAATGGTCACCTTTTGTGGGTGAGAAGGTATCTATGCTGTGAGTATCTTGAGAAGTGAGTATACAGAGTATAGTGCACTTCCAGACATATTATAGTGGAATTGCAGTAACATGTATTCAGGGGATCGTAAGCTAAGGGTTGTGAGTGTCAGGAGTGGTTCAAGAAGAATATAAATCAAATACCCAGGTACCACGATGTAGTTCTGCAGAATAAACTCTGGATTTTTGACATGGTGTTTGTTTACCATGGAGATTCAAGTAGAATTCTGACCACCAGCCCAGTCTTAATGCCAGGCCTGTCTCTTATAAACCTTATCATAAGCTGTGGCAAATGCAAGTGATGTAATGAAGAAAGTGTCTTTGCAAGCTAGGGAGGCATAAGGTAATGGTTACCTCAGAAACTGCTCAGCCAGCCAAATACTTTTCAACACCTAGGGTGATCAAAGAGAGGGCCAGTTCTGCAATGGCAGCAAGAACAGCAGAGGGAACTCTGGTAAGTTCTGCAGACTCTGTTTTCTAGTAGCACTTCTGCCCAAGCATGTCAAGCTGTATTCCTTTTCCTTTTTTCTTCCCCATGTTCTAGTTTGCGTTAATGTGTTTGTTGCTGTGGAAAAAGAATGACCTCAAGTCTTGTTTTGAGGTGGCAAAATAATAAACAAGGAAGGCACAGATTTGTGTTTTGTAATAAATAGTACATTTTCATATAATAAGAAGCTTTCTGTTTAAGACCTAAATCTAGAAACATTATAGTGGATGTACCTAATAGCAGGCATTGAAGCATCAGAGAAGTAGGGAAAATGAACACTGAAGAAAGTTCCTTTGGGGAAATATAATAAATAATTATATTTGGTATAATTCCTGGACTGAATGACCTTTTTTTATGTGGCTTTCCTGGACTGTCTGGCTAGATCTCTTGTCAAAGATGTGTTTCTAATCTTGCCCATAGCCTTTTTCAGTGAATTGATTTCAGGTTTTTCTTTTTTTTTTTAACTATCATCTTTAAATACCCTGTTCTCTGCTTGAGACTTATGAATAACAGTATTGGGGATTTATTTCTATCTTGAAGACCAAACAGAGTGAACCAGAAAGGAGGTTTGTCAAGTGCTGTTAATTTCAGTAAACTCGTGCGTGTCCTGGTCTGGCCTGCTATACTATCTGTGTGTATCTCTGGCAGATGTTCTGGGGTGTAATTGAGAGCCATTCTGTAAATAAATAAACACATTTTTTTACTGTCTTTCATAGGCTTCTCTGTAATTCTGGCCAGGCATCTACTAACAGTCTTGCTTGCCTTCAGCAGAGGCTAATTCATGATTGTGGCAGTGCTGTAAGCATGCAGCAATGAGTTGGCTTTGCTTATGGTGTGACCTCTACTTCCACACTGTGAAAGTAGGCTAACAAAACATAGGGATGGTTTTTCTATTTATTGCCTTCTGTTACTGCTGTGACTGATATGTGTCTTATTGCTATGCTCAAGCATCCTTGAAACAATGTGAAGGTGAAAGAGGCACTTCAGAGGTCATGTTTACGGAGCTACTGAAGCAGACACGGGAGAATAGCAGTTGAACAGAAGGAGGAAAGCATGTGTACAGGGAAAGCATGTTGTGGGAGTGTCGGGGAGGAGGGTGAATGTCAGTCCCCCAGGAACATGATCTTTCATTTGAGGAAGTAAAGAATGCTGTAGGAGTTGACACAGAGCACTTGATCTATGAAGTTCCTCAGTCTTGCTCACATTTCCCTTGCTGAAGATTATGCTTTTTACTCTTAATGGAGGTTTTAATTGTATACCTTCAGTGTTAAGAAACTTAGTCTACCCAGCCATACCAGTTAACTCTCCAAAAAATCCCCACAGGATTGACTTTGTGTATGCTAATATGTGCTGGTGTCCCAAATGTATTCTTGAGGGCTTTCTGCCCTTTCTTTGGACCAACAGTTATTTGGTTCTAGCTAAAGCTCTGTTTGTTTTTTGTTGGACTGCTTCTAAACCGTTGCCTGTCAATTTAATGGATACTGCTGAAAATGATCAGTTCACTAATGCTTGTTCCTACCAAAGATGAAATTGGCCTCTTGGCATTGAGGTATCTCCTGGTATCATTCCTTTGTCTACAAATAATGTTATTTCTGCCCATGTGCAAATGCAGTCTTAGACTGTATAGTGGGCCGCTACAGCTGTAGATTCATCTGTAGCTACATCTGGGATGCCAAATGCTCTGTTGGTCTCTTGATGCTGTAAGGTTGCCTAGCCAATTTTGAAAATTGGGCTGTAAAGCCAGCACATGGTTTGCATTTCTCATCTTGCATCTCCTTTGGCCTCTGTGGTGCCTTCTGCTCATTCTGTCTGAAAAAGTTTCAGTTTCCTTTGAAAAAGGAAGGTTGAACAGCAAGGAAGGTGTCTGAGGCTTGCTGCTGTCCCTTGCTTCATGGAGAACCTTGCGGAAAAAGAGATTAAGTCCCCTCTTGTCAAGAACCTTTCACAATGTGGGTGGGATGGGGTACATAGGGTTGCAAGAGATGCATAAACCAGGCAGGGACAGAGGTCTGAGGCTGGGTGACTGCTACTGAAATTGGGAGGCAGTTCCATAAGTAGGCAGCAAACTGTGCATAATGGTACAGAAAGGAACTCCCTTTCAGTCCTGCAGTTCTTGAACTTAAAAGAGTTTCTGGAGATCCTCCAGTTCCCTTTATGTTCTTAAAGGGGCTGAAGAGGCTTGTTCAGACCAAGCTTTCAGTTTTCATAGTATTTAAGTTCAGTTTATATTGTATTGGAGCAGAATGTGGTTCTCCAACTGAAAAAGTATCTTACTGTCTTTAGGATGACTGTTTTTATGCAGAAACTGCCTGAAATTTTTTTCTTGACTGTTGGTTCACCTACCATCCAGTCAGAGCTTTTTAGCAATGAAGGAGAATACCTGTTAGAAGTGGATGCTCTACTACTATTATATGTTTTGGTTTAGTTATGAAGCTCCACTAAGCATCCTTTAGCTGTTTGTAATTAGATGTTTGCTTACATAAATCTCTCCTGGTGTGTGCTTTCTGCAGCTTCATTAGGGGAGAGGATCTCACAGGTTCTGTTACTGTGGTAGCTGGGGAAGAATGTCTTTGCAGGTGCTTGACATGTTCAGAATATAGAAACAAACACCACTAGGTCTGTATCTCATTCTCAGTCAGTTTCCTCCAGTGTTTTTGCTTAATTGTCCCTGCTAGTTTGTGGGAATCTTAGACCACTGTTATAATTTGGTTTGTTTAACTGCACGTCTTTTTAGCTGAAATGTGATGGAGATGTAAAATGTACATGGAGATGTAAAATGTACAAAGTGCAACTGTCATTTCTCAACTGGTGGGTTGTTTTTTTTTTTTTTTGTCTTTTGCCTTAAGAAAAAAAGATATTGCAGATTTCTCTAAGGAGAGAATTGGGGTAACCCCCCCTATTTTGTAGCCTAGTTGCTAGCAGCTTCGTTCCTGCTTGTGTCTTCAGATTAATGATTTGATGCTATGAGCAACTTTCACACATGGAAGGATGTTCTTAGAAGAGGAGCAGATGAAGAAAATCAACAAACCCGTTTATTTCGTCTCATCATGGAAGGTTGAAACCTAAATTAAATAAGCGATTAAAGCAATGGAATAAAAAAGCCAAAGGCTGAGAAGCTCTTCTGTGACTGGCATAGGTTAACAGCATGCGTTCGTCTTTGAAGTAGCAGAGTGTGAATTACGTTTGTCGCCACTAGATGGTCCTCTGACTACAGGTATTGGTCAGTGGGCTGCATCTCTAAAACTGGGTTTATACTAGAACAGATCCTACAAGTGTATTTACTGCAAGACTTAGTGTAGAAAACACAAAAGTGTTTTCTGAAAACCTGCATAGCAAAAAGTTTCACTGATTGCAACATAATGTGTTCTGTTGGTTTAGAAGTTTAGCAAAAAGGCAAAATGAACTTGACTCTTGCTTTCACCAAAATTAAGGGGCCAGGGATGTGGGAAATAACTAGGAAATCCCTTATGTTTAGCTAGAATCCTAAACAAAACTGATGGAAACATAAAAGAAAGAAGTGGAGAAAATGTACAAAGATGAAAATATAAACCAAGTATAGGCAGAGTTAATTGTGATTTAAAAATCTGTGGCAAAT